ACAAGCGACATGAAGGCTACAGCAAGCAGGAGCTACGCAGAGAACTAGCGCGAGAGAAAAAGCAGGAGTTTAGGCAGACTCACGCAGAATCTACCCACTCGCTCGCCACTCCCACCTCCGTTTCCGGTGTAAAGACTAAGTCAATAAGACCGGGGATGAGGGAGGGTGTAGGTGGCTGGCACGGTAATCACTCAACACGCGCACACTTGACACAGCCAACTCGCTAGGTATGCTACCGCTTCGGCGGTACATATACTATTATCACAAACTAAATCACGCTCAAGTCAATACCTCTCCGCTTTTGTTGCAGCGGGGCGCACGGTGGACATCACCAGAAACGAAGGTCGGACCGGCGAGTGAAGAATTGTTCCGATGCTTTGTCAATCTCCTTCGTCCTTACACTAACATAATAGTCGACCACTCACCTCAATTAGTAGGAAATATCGCAGCCGATCCCCCATTTGTGATAATTCTCCAATTCACAACTGTTTGCCTGTTGTGATGGCTGAAAATTTGGTTTTGTTGATCGTGACATTGACCCCTTAAAAAGATATAGGTGTCCAACGCACACCGACGATTTCTGTATAGCCTCTTCGAAGGGGTCACCTTTGTTTAGTTAAAAATTCTGATGAACACTTTCGTTCCCAGATATTATATGCAATCGAATTTGAGGTTCGGAATCTCTCGTGGGGAGGCCTACCTTAGAAGCCTCACGTTCGGAAGGGCGGGGGGGGGAATACTCACCGGCTTTTTGGATGCAGATATTTCGGGAGGGCTTTCGTGTCTGCACTGGCGATAGTTATCGATGAATTTCTTCGGATACCCGTTTCCAAGAAATACTTTCTTCAGGAGACTGATCTCTTCATCGATCATATCTGAAAAACAGATTCCAGGTATTCAAGTGAACAAGCAAAGAACAAGTTTCGTTTCCTCTGAATTGGAACAAAACTAATGAAGTGCATGTACTGTCTTCTCCAGGTAGATTTTCGATAGATAGATCTCTGAATAGAACCATCTGCCCGCCAACGTATAAGAATATCTAAGAAAGCCAATAGGTCATTCTTCGCATGCTCATTTGTAAAGTTGATCTTTGCATGTGCCACTTTCATGGCCTTAAGTAGAAATTCTCCATGTTTAGGATTTTTAACAAGGGCAAAAATATAATCCACGTATTGTCTATACAAGGCAATTTTTGCTATGTTTTGGCTAATTTTCTTTCGAGATTTGACCTGAAGGTGTCTGCTAAGGCTGATCCTTATGGATTGTCCATAGCTACGACGTCGATTTGCCGATACAACGGTCCATTGAACGGGAACTGTGCATTTTTCGTGCCTATCTCTAGTAGTTCGCGTAGTTGGTCTGGTTCCAGACATGTTTCAGTCGCATATTCACATGTTATGTCAATATTTTCATCCAGTAGC